CCCCTGGAATAGATGGGTTCTCTGGAGAGTCTATGGCCTGACATGAGCATTGTCTAGGAGGGGCCTGGCCAGTGCCAGACTCTCATGCAGCGGTTTACAACCTGTGTGTCACGAACCCTTTGGGGGTCAAACAACCTTTCACAGGGGTCACCTGATTCATAACAGTAGCAAAATTATAGTTATGAAGTAGCAAAGAAAATAACATTATGGTTGGGGGGCGTGTCATCACAGCATGAGGAACTGTATTAAAGGGTCACAGAATTAGATCTGGGTCTACCCACTTCCCTCCAAGTCTCACACTCCATTTGCAATGATGGATCACCAATAATAAGCATTGGACTGCTAACTGCAAGGTCTGAGGTTCAAACCCACCAGCAGCTCTGCAGAAGAAAGATGAGGCTGCCTGCTCCCAAAAAAACTTACACAGCCTCAGAAACCCTGCAGAGCAGTGGTTCTCAACCTTCCTAAGGCCGTGACCCTTTCATACAGTTCTTCATGTGGTGGTGACCCCCCAACCATAACATTATCTTCGTTGCTACTTCACAACTATAATTTTGCTACTGTTATGAATCGGGCGACCCCTGTGAAAAGGTCGTTTGACTCCCAGAGGGGTCACAACCCCCAGGTTGAGAACTGCCTCTGTAGAGGGTTGCTGTAAGTAGGAATCAACTCAATGGTAATGGCTGTGTGGTAGACAAAGGGCTGACACCCTGGTTATGCTATTGGTTAAGTGTTAGACTACTGACTACAAGGTTGGCAGGTCAAATCCATTAGCTACCTCGTGGGACAAAGAAGGGGCTGTCGCTCACTATGAGTCAGAATTGACTCGATGGCAGTTGGATTTAGTCTGGAGAAAGAGCTGGTATAAACACATCTTGGTAACATTTGTTAAAATACATCTAACTTGATTTCCCTTGGATTTTAATCAAGCAACGCTAAACCAGATAATGAGGGCTCTGAAAGCCAAGCGTCCCAGTTCCCCCTGCGGAAACCCCAGCACGACTTTCTGCTGAAACCCCTAATAAATCTTTCAGTGTTGCCTTGAAGCCACTCAAGGACTGGGGATGATTTGGAAGCCAGTGGCTCAAGTCATTACCCAGCACACTCACACGAGAGAACTATTTACCCAGGGAACTGTCATGATGCCACCTTTCAAATCCACAGTAAATTGGCATCTCATCCCCGCCAGGATGGGGGCAGGTGGTTCACATCAAAGTTGCGTCAACCTTCAAAAGTCCATTGGCAGCCTGCCTTCACTGAGCCTACGTAGTAACCCCTTGTGCTGAGAATCCAGTTCTGATGAGGGCCAGAAGTGCCCTGAGGGTCTATTACATCGTGTGGTGGGATATCAGTTGCCAACTCAAGCCTTGGGGGGTGGGGAGTGGGTAAGAGTCAGCTCTGACTTAAGCAGGGGCTTAAGTGATATTTACTTTTGACCAGTTCATTTTGAGATATGTCCCCAAGGAGAAGCTGTATTTTCACCCCTCAAAAAAAACAACCAAACAGTGTCCTTAATTTTGACTCACAGCAACCCTATGGGCAGGGTAGAGCTGCCTGTGTGGGTTTCCGAGACGATATGAGTCTTTATGGGAGCAAGTCTCATCTTTCTCTGTGGAGCGGTTGGTGGACTTGAAATGCCAGCTTTGTGGTTAGCAGCCCAACACATCACCGCGATACTGAATCAAAATCCACCTAACAGGATCCCCAGGTAAGTATCATGAAACTGAACATCCTGATTGGGTACCTTGGGTAGAAATGCAGATTTGGGGGGAGGGGGGTGTCAAGCCAGAATGAACTGGTTGGAAGCCTTGGATTGATTTCTGGGAGGGTTTGAGCACAACGACAAGACGACAGGAGCAGGGAGCGGGTTTCAGAGCGTCTCCCAGGCGACACACAGTGTGACCTTGTTGATATTTCCGTTTACACCCTCAACAGCGCCCTCTAGAGTGACCACACTCGATGGGTGCAGGCCCGCTGCAGCTCCGGGATCGCTGCTGAGCGAGGATTCATAGGCCTTCACTACCCCAGCCAGGCTTCTCCTGTGACTTTCGGTCCTCAACAGGAATGTCGGGTCTAACTCGCTCCCGTGGGGGGACTAGCAGGCCCCACCCCCATGTGGCGTGTAAGGGGACAAGGACAAGCTGTGGGCACGGGCACACACAAAGCAGCAAGTTAAGTCTAAGCATAGGGTCACTTCAACAGAGATGAAGCAGGTCCCCCTCGGGAGGTGAGAAGTACAGAGAAGTATGCCGCCAGCCCCCATGCTAGAGAGAAGGGACACACAGAAGTCCCCTTCAGCAAGGAGACAGAGGGCGCAGACACTGGCTGCCGAAGGCGTTGAGTTTTTAAAGGGCACTTTCAAGGGCAGGGGGACTGCAGCTCTGCTGATGGTCCGGCTGCTTTCCAGTTACCTACTAAGTTCGTCCTTGGGTCTCTTACGTATTTCTTTCCAATTTATCTCAGGTGACAATTCTGTGTCGGGAAGTCCCGGGTCTTCTCTCTGGCTGTAAATCCAGGTGAGTCCACACAGCCTGACCTGAAGAGTTGAGACATTTGCCAGGCCTGCTAGCTCAGGGCCCACTGTTCATTCGCTAAGCCTGCGGAATGCTTGTCCCGTCTCAAGTGGAATGTGTTCCCCGCGAGCACAGCCCACTCTCTGAGCAGGCGGAAGCCCCTGTTCTTCTGTCATCCACAATGCTCCACATCTAAGCAAGAATATGGAAATGTTTTAACTATGGAACAGATCTTTTTTTCTGATGGGCCTGAGGGCCAAGGTCCTCCTGCCCTTGGAGCAACAGGTCAGAGGTCAAGCAGGTGAGGGATCCAGTAAAAAGGGCTCAATCCAGTCAGTCTGTGCTCCATGACTGCTCCTCAGCAGTTTGTGCAGACTCACCTGGGCGGTAGGTAAGGTTTCTGTAGGGCAGCAGAGAGAAGAACTGATGGAAAGCCAACAGATTCGAATGATGAGAAGCCTGCCCTTTGAAGTCATGCTGCCATAGCTAAAACCCTACGTCCGGTTTCTAGTTAAACCTATCCAATGCACACGTGCACATGGTAGGGTTTGGGTGTGGGGACAGTATAGACCACTGGGCAAGAGTGGTCCCATGTTGGAGTCTGCTGAAGGGGTCAATGGTTTCATGAGGAATACTGTATGCTTCTGTTTTTGTTTATGCTTGTAATATGTCCTTACAATAGGTTAAGTATAAGTGAATCCGTGCTCTTCCTCTGACCGGGTGCATGACTTTGGACAAGTTTCTTGGCCTGCCTCAGTTTCATCATCTATGCAGCTGAGTACTAGTTGCACCCACCTTAGGGGATGTGTAAGAAATAAATGCAGTAATACATGCAAACTATTGAGCTATTATTTCCAGCCTAACTACTCTATCCCAGGCAGTAGACTTGTCCTTATAAATGAATCATTTCAATTTAATCCTCTCAATCCTTCAATTTTGCCTCCCAGGAGGCAAACACATTTTTATAACATAAAGAAAAGCACACTCCACGGGGAAACCTGTATGAAAAACCCAGGTTTGTTCGAAAAGTCTTGTTTTCTCCTCGATGGCCAACTTCTATAAAAGTGACTTCTGGGTTTATGGGGAAACTGAGGCTCAGCAAGGTCAAGTAGTCCACACTTCTGTGGTAGACACAGAGTTACAAGTAGACCCGGTTATCACAAGGGTGGAGCCAGTTCTTCCAGCCTGGCTGAGTGGTGCTCACGCTGCCCTGGGAAGAGGGGAACTCTCCTGCAGCCCGGCAGGTGGTGGCCAGTGTGAAGGGGAAGGGTGGCGGCCTGTCCCAGCTCCACCCACAACGCCTCCTCTCCTGCTGTCCCCGCAACACGCAACACGCAGCTCCTCGGCTTCCTTTATCCCGAGACCCACACACCCTGCCGGTTGTCACAAGGCCAAGGAAGGGGGAGAAAACCTGAGCCCCCAAAGAAACTTTCATCCAGCAGCCTCTGCATTTGATAAATATTTTAGTTTGTCCCTTTCCAGAGCCACTGGCACTTAAGCAAACCTAAAAGGCACTCCCCCCCCCCCCCTCCAGGAGATCTCACAGAGGCTGGCAGAGCCCTGCTCCTCCCAGGGTCTCTGCGCATCCACTAGTCCCTGCTCTCCATAGTTGCTTCCAGTCCTCAGAGAGCACCGGCCACAGCCTGCTCTCCCCATTAATAACTCAGCAATCAGCCATGACAGGAGAGCCGACACACTCGGGCCGACTTCTCCCAAGAGGGGGAAAATCCACAGGAGCCTGCAGTCCACACCTCGCCTGTAGAATGGCCGCTTTGCATTTAAAGCTCAACTGGATGGCCAGCAACTGGCAACCTCTCAGTTAAGTCTGCACTTCGCCTGCCGGGCCACCTTGATGTAGCAGTTTGCAAATCGTAGGAAAAGCACTTGTGGTCTTATTCCAATTAGAGCTCTTTTTGTGCTAGAAACAAACCAATTAAAACACCCTTTCTGCCCCTCTTAAGATACACTGAGTCTTAAAATGATCTGGGCGGGGCCTGGGGGGCCTAATTGTACTGGAAGCGATGAGCATCGGCTGAGAAAGGGAGCCTGGTGGCCTCCCAGTACCTCAGGGCAGCCCCAAGGCGCAAGGCCAACCCCAGAGTCAGATAAGCCAACAAGCCAGGTATGGCTGGGCCCATCATGCATGTTTACTGATCTGTAGTATGCAATTTAACGTCTTTTTCTTGTTTCACCGCCACGAGAATTCTGATTCATATCTGTTTATCTCCCAACCCCACAGCATCTTTCTCTTTAGAATCAAAGCCTCTTCACACAGTTTCAAACTCTGACAGGGCCGGAATGCCCCACAAGGTATGCAGCGGCCTGCCTGTCCTTACTGAATGGTCGGCAGTGAGCAATTTCACACGGGGTTGCGTGTCAAACCGTCCATTACAGACGAGTAAGTAGCATAAGCAAGCCCCCGCTTCCCTGGCTTTCTGGGTCCGCCGTCCCTGCCGCCTCCTGGCAAGACACGATGAACACCCAGTGTAAGGCGATTATCTCCTTTATTCCAAAAATAAATATTTCACTTTTGAAGTCGACATATTTCAAATCACATGAAGCACAGAGGAGAAATACAGTCCCTTTGGAATTCGTGAACACGTGTAGGAAAGGGTCATGTTCAAAACAACGGGGATGGGGGAGCATGGATTCCAACTGACTCGTGACCCCGAGACGCCTCCGCTCGCCAGGACGGGGCTACAGACCGATTTCCCGTGAGAAGAAGACACCCCCACACTGCTCTGAACCCGGAAAGGCACATGGAGTGGACCCTAAGGTGTATGGCACGTTCACTGATAAAACGTTCCCTATTCCCTCCCAAGAAAAGTGGAGAAACTTTAATCAAGTCAAAGACCAGAGAAGACAGGGAGCTCCTGCTGGGAGCTCGGCATCTTGGAAACCCCTGAATACGAGAGCCATTTGCTTGCGCTTGCTTCCCCCGGCCCTCGCCGCCTCTCCTTGCAGGCGAGTCCCGGGGGCTCACTCGGTGGTGGGGGGGCGCGTGGCCACGTACACAAACACCACGATCAGCAGCACGACCACGGCCAGCGTGGGCAGCACCACCGTGGTGATCTGCTGCCGGGCCTCCTGCATGGCCTGCTTCCGCTCCTTCTTGTCCTTGGACGTCTCCTTCTTGGGCTTCCCTTTGAGCTGCCGCATCTTGCCTTGCGGGAGGCTAGGACGGTGCGTCCAGAGGAGTTCTGAAGAGCGGGCCCTCGGCTCTAGACCGAACGTCCTGTTGAGAGAAGCAGCAGCGCGGTCAGGCTCCAACCAGACTCAGAATCATCATGAGGTTAAAAAAGGCAAATGTGATCTTAGGAAAACACCAGCAACTACAGGGCAAAGGCAGGTGGAAGACGGGGCTTTCTAGCCCCAAGTCCCGGAAACCCATGGGGCAGATCTACCCTGTCCTATAAGATCGCTATGAGTTGGCATCGCCTCAACGGCAGTGAGTTTCCTGTTGGTTATGAGACCACGGGGGTGTGAAAAGCAGACCTTACGAGGTTCTGAATCCGTGGGATCACTGGCAGGCCATGGGGACAAGTTAGCCCTTCATGACTGCCACAGTGGACAGGGGCTGGGAGGAGATCGGGCCACCGCCTCGGCTCCCAGAGGCAGCTGGGCAAGACCTAGCTAGGAGGACTGTGTGCGCCCTGAGGGCAGCGTGGTTCACTAGCAGGATTCGACCTTCCAGGTGGGAGACATCATTCTAATTATCAGTCAACACACCCTATGTGCTGTCACCACCGATTTGTCTGTGAGGCTTGAGGTTTGGAGAGGAGACCATTGGAAGGCCAACAGGTTTTCAGTGGAGGGTCAAGACAACGAGTAGGAAGGCCATGGAAAATGCTGTAGCTCATGAAGGTCCAGTCCACAATTGATCATGGAGGTGGCCCACGGTCAGGTGACATTACCTTCTGTTGTGCATAAGACCCCCACAAGTGGGGCCAGCTGGCTGTCAGCTAGCCACCTCCTGCCACTGCTCTTTGGATCCTTCCATGATCAGGCAGTTTCTTATGGGTGGGTGAGGTTAACATCATGACACTGGAATGGCACACTGCTATTCAGATGAGACGGGGCGCAATCAGGGTGGTAGGGCTGTGGACACACAAGGTCACTCAAATGCAGATATTGATGGATTCACATCGGAGCAGCTCCGTGTTAGGCGAATATTCAGATGCTTTTTGGCTTTTAAAAATTACCCATTTCTACTTCCTTAAACAATAGGCTCATGATGGTGCGGATGGTACCTCAGGTCACTGTGAGTCAGAACCGCCCCACTGGCACAGACGGCCAGCACCAGGCCTGGACTTGTAGCCGGCTGCTCCAGCGGTTAGCAGTTTCCTCCCACAGATGTGCACCAGACATTCTGAGGCACCAGCCTCCCTAATACGGGCATTTGTAAGATGCGTTCAGAAGTTCCTGGAGGCTGGGGGGAAAGCCTCAAATTGCCAAGGATGGTACAGATCTAGTCAGGACGTAAAGGACAAACATGCCCGTTTGAATGCTGGGTTCTTCATGAGCTGCTATACTGCGTGGCCTCTCTCCTTTTACTCAGCTGCAAAGTGGGCCTAAACCACAGCCGCTTACCCTCCTGTAAGGCAGGGCTGGTGAGAAAAGCCAGCTCTGAGGTGACAACTGGGCAAAATCCCACTGATGAAAAGGAACAAGTAGTGACATTGTGTGTGTGTGTGTGTGTGTGTAGAGGGGGCAGAGGCACACACGGATGGCCAGGCAAAAAGTATTGATACCAAGCCATAGAGTCCTTTATTGAACAAGAAATATCAAAATATGAAGCTATTGTATTTTGACACATCCTCCCACTAGGTCTACATGGTGTCCCCATCTCTCTATCCCTTCCCTGGAGAAATCTACATTCTTTCATTTAGACCGCAACACAATGGCAGCCTGGCATCCCAAGGGACTCACTCACTCGCCTCACATTCCTTTTCACCATTCTTTGAGTTTGGGGAACAAAACAAAATCGAAAGATCAGGTCTGTAGATTAAATGGAGTAAGTATTCCCAATGAAATTGTCATTGGAGAGCCTTCGCTACCATTGAAGGAGGTGCACTGTCATGGGGGGAGGGGGAGTTCATAATAAGCCCAAGATTGTCCTTGGTCTTTTAACAAAAATCTATCCAGATTAGCCCTTTGGAGTCCCCCAAATAAATCCCCCTACAGCATGAGCTGACCTCTCTGCCTTGAACTGGCCTGGCTCAGTAGATGAACTCAGAAGTCAACGTTTTGATTGGGCTTAAAAAACAAACACCAAGGCACCCAAACAGGCCAAGACAAATGTATGACTGAGAGAACTCCTATGCAGCCTTCCACTGATCGCAGGGATATGCTTCCACGTGATCTGTTTGGAATAAGCCCATGCATCTATGAACTGGGAGCCTAGTAGCAATACTTTGTTGGTTTATCCTTGAAGATTTTAGGGGTAACATTAACAGATCTGATGGCGAGCGCAGAGAAGAGGAAATTCAAGGATGAAACCACGGTGGGGGTCAAGCAACTGGGTAGATGAGGGTGATACTGACTCACAAGATAAGGGAGAACGGATTTGAGAGAGAAAATTAATAGCTCAATTTCAACCTACGTACGTGTGAGGATGCTTAGTAGCCATGATTGTGGAATGTTGAAGAGGAAACGTGAATCCATTAGTGCAGAGCTCGCTCTGGGCTACAGAAGTGTATTTGAAGGCGGTGCTCCTGGACTGGGTGGGATCACTAGGGGCATGGCAGCCAGGGAAAGCACCCAACGGCCATGTGGCGCCAAGTCAGAGACCAGCTGGGGAAGAAAAGCAAGCGCGGTGATGGGGGAAGTAGCAAGTGAGGAAGGAAAACCATCGCATAGGGAGCCATGGGGACCGGGAGTCACGAAGGAGGCCAACGCGTCAAAGCACTGTCAGAGACAATGACGATGAAGATGAAGCAGCCCCTACTGAACGGAGCCACGTGGAGCGAAGGCAGTGCATGAGAGGTGAGCTCCAGCCCAGTGCCACAGAGAGTCCGCAGATTAGGACGTGTCTACCAAAAGGTGGAGAGCTTGTGACAGAACACTCTGCTTCTTTCATTCAGAGAGTTCTGGGGGACATGCTCGCTGAAGGGCAGCATACGCACGGCGGGTGCACACTCTGCTCAGGCCTCTTCATGTGTGCTCACCTGCGATAAATGCTTTGCAACGAGGAGTGCTTAGCACGAGGAGGGAGAAGGGGTTTGGAGTGCTGCTGGATGAGAATGTGGGGCAATGGAGACTTGCAGGGAGGGGGGCTGCCCTCATCCAGCGAAAGAAACGAGAGGATGCCTGAGGGTATGACAGAATGGGAGAAAACTCTGACTGCTGAGAAGGGAAGCTGCGTTTGCTGGTAAGAGCAACCTTTCAAAGAAGCAAAGGCACGACTTCAAATTCAATGGGAGGCAGGGCAGAGCAGGAGGTCTGCCTGTATTCAGTGGTGGGAACTAGCAGCTTCTATTTTTTTTCAGTGAAATGAGAAACAGCCTCCGTAAACTTAAAGTCTACAGTGTTGGAGGCCAGGTTTGAATTACGAGGAGGCCCAAAATATGCCCTTTAGATGATGGGTAAGTAAACCTGATAGAAAAAAACAAGAGCCCTTATAGCTGATGTTTTTATATAAGTTACTCTCTAACATCCACGCCCACCTCCAGCTCTGAGCTGGCTTGAACTGCCAGGGTCAGCTGGACTCTGAGCCATCGCTGACTTTACCCAGCCTCCATCCATGGAAGCGCGCAGCCTGCCTCAAGGAGGGAAGCTCAGCCACTCGGCCTCTCTCTCAAGAATCTCCAGTGAGAAACAGAAGGGACGCTCACGTTGAGCAATCCGAAGACGTGAGGGCCGGGGAGGCCACGGGCAGGACGGAGCAGAGGAAGTCATCAGGGGAAGAGGAGATGACGAGAGCAGACTTGTTCTTTATAGACCAGTCCCCACAGGACACAGCTCTACGGAGGTTCCTGTCCTTAGGTCCCCCTGGCACGTTTCCATCTCTTTGCCCTCGAGCCGGCTCTGGTGGGTCTCAGAATCTCACCCGGGAGAAGAGCCTTGACCGAAATTTAGGATTCCCACGAGGAGTCTCCTGCCACCATCTTCCTTGCGGCCACTCCACACCCACATCCTCCTGCCTGGCTGGTACTCACTTAGGGGCTACTGCACCCCGCCCAGGGGCCTGGCTTCTTACCAACCAGCAGGTCCGGGCAGAAGAGAAGCTGAAGCCACCAGTCCACTTGCAGCTTTCAGACTGTGGCTGCCACCCGGCCAGCCTGCTGCCTCCAGCTTCCCTCACCAGGGAAACCAAAGACGTCACAAATGCTGGGGTTCCGCCGGATTCTAATAAGACGCCCCCTCCCCCACTGCTCCGCCCCACCCCCACCCCCACCAATGCAAACCCACGGCAACTGGTCAGCACTGGAACATTCTAGCGGGCTCTTCGAGAGCGTGGGTGAACACCTGCCCAGAGGAGATGGTGGTGGGGCCCCGTCTTTCAGGCAGAATTCAAGTTCAAATTCCTTTGATGATAGCGTTCCAGTCTTTTTCTTATTTAGGTGTACTATGGACAAGAGTCCACGTGGCTCAGGAGGTTACGCGTTGGGCTGCTAACTGCATGGTCAGCATTTCAAAACCACCAGCTGCTCCTCGGGAGAAAGACGAGGGTTTCTACTTGTGTAAGGAATTACACTTAGGGAAACGCACAGGGGCAGTTCTACCCTGTGCTACAGGGTCACTCTGAATCAGCATCGAATCGATGGCAGTGAGTCTGGTTTGGTTTTGCCAAATCTAGTTAGGCAACCTTGGGCAAAGAACGGAAGCCCTTATGTGTAGCATAGGATATGACCACCTACTTAGTAGAGCTAAGGAGAGAATTAGAAAGGCTGATCATCTAGCATACCTAGTACATGAGACCAGAGCAGTGCTCACTAGTCTACAGGCAGTCACTTGCTATCCAGGGAGGTCTGTCCAGTAGCGAGACCCACATTAGGCCTGCCTGAAATCAGCAGCCGTTGGTTCTGACTCGCGGTGCCGAGGAGAACTGCCCTTCAGAGGGTCTTCAAGGCTGAGAGCTTTACAGAAGCAGGTGGGCACAGTTTTCTTCCCAGGAGTCTAACTACCCACCTTTCATGGTAAGCAGTCAGCACCTATTTTATTTTTAACACCATGTAGTCCAAGAATGATAGAATTCCCCCAACACTTGTCTTGTTACCTTGCTACCTGCTCATG